CCCCCCCCCCCCCCCCCCCCCCGCTTTTTTTTTTTTCTTTAATTTATCAAAAGAAAAGCAGAAAGCCAGGCATGTGCTTTGACTCCGTTAGGAAAATGTCGCATTCTTGCTGCACGTTTGGGAAAGTAATAGGAGGATTAGAGGCCTCCTGACAAACTCTTCCCTCCGAAGGATCAATTAGGTGATTCTGTCATTTTTCTATAGAAAAAGGGGGCGAGCCCTGAGGTATTGCAAGTAATTTCCTATGTTATCGTTTCAAGAGCTTTTATTGATACAAGTTTTGGGAAAGATTTTTTTTTTTCTTTTCTTTTTTTTTTTTTTTTTTTTTTTTTGTCAAGTTTTGGTTCAGATTTAAAGGGAAGCTCTTGAAAGTGGGTTAGAAAGGGAAAACAAACAGAAATCCTGGTTCTGAGCAAATTTATCCAAGCCCTGGAACCAAAATGGCACAAGCATTTTGTGTCATCTGTCAGGAAAAATCCAAACATCATTCCATTTACATATCTGCTGAGGAGCTAGGAAATAGTTGGGGAACATATGCACGTCTCCTCAGATTTACAAGCAAATGGATTGTAAAAATATTAGCAAGGGTCGCTGTAGCTGGATTAATTTCAAAAAGATCTGCAGAAATACATTGTTTCAAAGCCTCCTTTGCAGGATTACATTATCGAAGGCCCCTTTGGGTTGGGGTTCTTTTGTCGTAGGGTTTTTGTTTTGTTTTTTTTTTTAACACCTTTTTGAAGAGCAAAAGAGGATTTTGGGATGAACAGTACAGAACTGTGCGGTCCAAATTTTAGGTGCTGCTTAGAAACAGGCAGCTCTCAGAAGAGCTGTATCCTCAAACTTTGGAGAGGAGTGCAATAAAGAAAACCCCAACTTTTTATTACCGCTTTACCAGCTTTCTGGTGTCTTTTATTTTTGGGTAACCCATCCAACACTGAGAGGGGAAAGCAAACGGTTTTATCAAATACTTTCAAAGTTTCCCTTCAAGCTAACTTGTGGACAGGGAAAGATCACTGCCTTTTCTACCAGTTCCCTAAAATCCTACTATTTCGCAGCAAGGCTGCAGATAAGTTGCATATCTGTTAGCACACTTGCACTGTCATATTTCGGAAACTTTTTGGGTTTTTTGGGGGGGCTGTAACGCCACTGAAATAAAAAATTGCATTGTGCAGAAGCTGCTCCCCCCCTCCGTCCCCGCGTCCAGCCCAATTCTGTTTGATCAGTCCTGGCTGCTTTTATTTCCACTTGGACTTTGCTAATACCTCAGCGCTGAGATTGAAGCGGTGCGATTTTCCGGAGCAGCGTGTTTACCAAGACACTTTGAAAGTTGCTCTGTTTATGAGTCGTTAACCTTTTCTCCTCATACACCATTTTGAAAAGACACGTTAGGGTGTAATAGGGACGTGCACACCTCGCGCCCGAGCAGCGGTGCTTCTCCTTTACTTCAGCCACAGACCCAGACTTTGCACCAAAAAGCATCTTGTTTTTTTTTTTCCCCCCCCTTCCCTTTAAAGTGGTTTAGTGCTTTTTTTTTTTTTTTTTTTTAAGTGGGTTTTTTTGGGGGGTGTTGTTTTTACCTCCCCTTTCAGGTCCACATCGTAGAAATCAGCTTTAGCGCAGGTTAAAGCAACTCTCTCTTGGATGTTATCCAGCGCCGAGCCAAAAAAGTCCCGAGCACATGAGATCAGGCAGGACAAAGCGCTGCTTAAAGCAGAAAAGTTAAAATATTTCAGGATGTACCAAGACGTGTTTGGAAAGTGGGAAGGCTGGAAGCGCTGCCCTGGCTCGCTGTGGGGCTGTCGAGCCTCTCTGCTCTGTGTACCTTCGCAGATAAACTTCCACTTGACAAAAGGCCTTTTTTCCTTGACTCTCCCTGAGTGGGGAAAGGGAAGGACAAGAGAGATCAGGAGGGAGGGTTTATTATTTTTAATGGCTTGTAGAGACCTGTAGTTTTTGTATTTTTCTTCTTTTTCCCCCCCTTGCCTCCCCCCCCCGTGAGAGCTGATTCTGGTGGGTGAGAGCAGCTCCATGTGCTGGGATTGTGCCTCCTCTCACTTTTTGAATCTGCCGATTGCAAACTCACAGCAATTTTTTTTTTTTTTTTTTAAACTTTATTGAAATTTGAAACTATCATCTCATAGAGTAGGGAAAAAAAAGGAGGAATGTGCCAATCACTGGAGTGATTTATTTTATTTTACCTGCTTTTATTTTAATAATCATTCATAGTACTTTGATTGCTGCCGCTCTGCTCTAATGAAATACATTGTGCTGTTAAGAAAGTTTTTAACAATCTCTGTTTAAAATAAAAATAAATGCAATGGTGCTACCTATAGATTTAAGTATCTGCAATTCTGGGGTCACTCAAAATAAGTGCAGTGAAAGCTTTTGGGGAGTCAGCAGAAGGTCTTGAATTACAGCAGGATTTTGCTGATAGATATTTCTACTATTGATTTCTCAATTTTTTCATAATTTCTGAAAAGAACAATGCAAATTAAAATAAAGTGTTGAAAGGAAGTAAGATGTCTCTTTTAATAACCATATTTGCATGACCCACAATGATTTGGGTAGAAAATATACTCCATGGGATAATTAAAAAAAAAAAAAAAAAGTTAGTTTGTTAATCTGAAAAATCCCCAACGTTTCCTCGCACAGGGGAAGGCAGCGGGTGGCTTTTCCCATGCTGGGGAAAACGTTTCACAAATTACTTTATTTTTCCCTCCTGGAGGGCCCAATCCTGAGAAAAGGAGGAACTGGAAGCAGGGACGTCCCCAGCGCACAGCGCTGGATCAGGCCCCACAGCCTGGATACATTTTTATGTGCTGCCTGGAGTTGGGTCATTCATTTATTCAGGGAAAAAACCAAAAAGCATGGCCCCAGTATATTATAATGTATTTTGATCTCTTTGGCTGATTAATGTAATATTTAGTGAGGAAAAAAAGATATATATATAAATATATATAATTATTAAAAAAAAAATCAACGGGTCTTTCTCGCCTGTTTTTAGCATAATTTTAAGTGCGATTATTTTTGTGGCAGGGGCGAGGGGTGATCTTTAACTCCTCGTTACACAAAACCAGCAGTGTCTCCGGATGGCCAAACTAACTTTCCGAGTAGGGCATTTCTTTTTAAATAACTGAAAATCTGAAGAATTAATAATTCTTTGCGTATTTGCACAAGTTGTGCTACAGTTTTCTGTTTACCGTGTTTTTCAATTTTTCCCGGCTTTTTTGTTTTTTTTTATTTTATGGGAAGTCTCAGAGTTTGACTTTCCTTAATATGCCCAGATAGCAATTTTTAATTTTTTTTTTCTTTTTGACTAAATATAAGCAAAAATATTAAAAAGATAAATTGCAAGGCTTGCTTTTTCTAGGATTTTAGTGTTGGTTATGATTGCGCTTGCGGGATAAATCTACCGCGGTACTTCTCGCTTCCCTTCACTGTTCAGGAGCCAGAGTGAAAACCACCCTTCATTGTAATTGTATATACAGCTATAGTGGCATTTTACTATTCTGCCGGCTGCTATTTCCAAATATATCTTAGGGAAAGTTTTACTATACTTTAGACTTCCCCATACAAACATTGATTGGCATCCAAATGTTTAGGATTTGCCAAATTGGCGGGCAAACGCTGGCTACACCGCAAGCAGCGGGGTCAGGGAGAGAGCAAAGGGAGATACGCGCTCCGCAAGTGGACTTGCAGAAGAGTTCTTGGCTTTTAACTCATTCTGCTCCTTTTTTTTTTTATTTTTTTTATTTTTTTAAAAGGTTTGGGGACTGGGGAAAGGGTGCCAGCGTTGCACCATCTCCATCTGGGCGCTTGGTTGAAGTTGGACCCTGTTTTTGGGGGGCGGGAGCGGAGTTTTCGGGTCGGCGCAAAAGGGAAGCGGGGATGTGGCGGTGGCGGGTTCGGGGCGCATCAGCAAGGGGTCCCACAGCCCCTAAAATTTATCAGCACCCTCGTAATTCTCACCATCCTGCAAAATCCCCGTTTTTGAAGGCTCTTTGTTGATGGTGACCCTTCTCTGTAACTTTTTTCAGGATGAATTTCATCCCTTCATCGAAGCACTTCTGCCTCACGTCCGAGCGTTTGCGTACACGTGGTTCAACCTGCAAGCCCGAAAAAGAAAATACTTCAAAAAACATGAAAAACGCATGTCAAAAGAGGAAGAGAGAGCCGTGAAGGACGAACTGCTAAGTGAAAAACCCGAGGTAAAGCAAAAATGGGCATCCAGACTTCTGGCAAAGCTCCGGAAAGATATCAGGCCTGAATTTCGGGAGGATTTTGTTCTCACAGTCACAGGAAAAAAGCCTCCGTGTTGCGTTCTTTCCAATCCAGACCAGAAGGGCAAGATGAGAAGAATTGACTGCCTTCGCCAGGCAGATAAGGTCTGGAGGTTGGACCTTGTTATGGTGATTTTATTTAAAGGTATTCCGCTCGAAAGTACTGATGGCGAGCGCCTTGTAAAGTCCCCACAGTGCTCTAACCCCGGGCTGTGCGTACAGCCCCACCATATAGGAGTTTCTGTTAAGGAACTCGATTTATATTTGGCATACTTTGTGCACGCAGCAGGTAAGTGCCTTTCTCTACCACCTTCTTCAACTTTTCGGTTATTTCCGTGCCGGGTGCCGTGCCCCAGCGGCGGCTGCATGAGCCGGGGAGGGAGCTGGGGATGCTGGTTATCGCTCTCCCGGGGTGCAGTTAACAGCATTTCGGGCATCCTTCACAGGTGTTATCCTGAATGTTATACCAGGAGGGCTCACAGCCGGATGCGGCTTCCTTTATTTTAATTTTGGGGGAAAGCGGATAGATTTTAATTTAATTTATTATTTTTTTTTTAAATAAAGTCTGCATATGTTATGCACAAAGTTGTCTAGGTGGGCTAGAGATGCCTGAGAACTGTGGGTCAGGAGTACCAGGTATCCTCACCCCACAGGGATGAGATGGGGAACATAAATCCTGCAGGATTGGAGGGAAAGGAAAAGACAGTCCCTTGACAGCAACCCTAGTCATCAGGTCTTGAGTGGGCATGAAACAAACCTCTGGGTAATCCTAGGGGGAAAAGGAAACATTTAAATCCCCAAAATATCACAGTTTATACACCTAAAAGCTAAGCAGGTCTTGAAAAAAAATTCCTGATTTGACAATATTGGGCTTATGAGGAGGGGATGAGATCTTTTAATGTGTGATGAAAATCTTGGGATCCCAGACTCCAACAGAAAGTACGCTCTGCCTGCGGCGTGACTCAGTGTGCTCAGAGGATGTGTAGTATGTTGACTGGCATAAAATAACGTGCTATTGTAGTTCTCCTGAGTGATTGTAGTGCAGAGAATTGTGTGTGTGTGAAGTGCGAGGCCCCGAGTTTCATGTATGGGATGTGTGGGTCCCCCAGCCTATCCTGACTTGTGAGCTGAGGGGCTGGACAGGCTGGAAAAACAGAGGAGCAGGGGGGAAAGGATCATATTAGTAGAAACCACTTCTGTATAAATATTTATCGGTAAGAAATCCAAGCACATTACAGCCCAGGGAGCCTGCGTTTCCCATGCCAGCTTCTTTCAGAGGGTCTTGCAGAAAGTTTTGGCTTCCCCAAAGTTTTTCTGCGCTGAGTCCCTGCCATGGTTGTTGTGTTAGGCAATGTCGCCGCTGGGATTTTACAGATACGATCCCTGTTCGGAAATAACTTTCGAGTATCCTCATGGTATTTCCTACAGATAAGCTGCAACATTTACTTTTCACTTCGGTGTGAGGTGGTGAATCATAGTGCTCGTTTATGGTGAAAGGGAAGTAGGCAAATACTGAGGAAAATTATTTATTTACTCTGCGCTTTATTATTGCCACCGTGAAGGAAGCATTATGGATAAATGGCTAACTGAAGGGAGTTTGAGGCTGGGGCATTTCAGGTCACCTCCTGTTCCATCACCAACCCTGAGGGGACCATGGACTCATACCCCTTTTGTCTGCCTCAGTTTCCTCCTCCGCATGTTGGAGTGGGGTGATAAATTTAAAATGCTTTGATATCCAAATATAAGCTATAAATGTCTATTTACTGATCTACAGCATGCAGATATTTATTATTTAAATTTATCTATAGCATGGTGCTGGTAAATACTGATCCATGTTGTATTTCCCAGGCCCTCCGTGGAGCGCACAAGTCGTTGATAGAAACCAATGGTCTTGGTTTAGCTTTCATGTAGGGTCACAGAAATGCAGTATGGAGAGAAAAAGACCAAACCCATGGGTGGGAGGATTTTGGGGAGCTTCAAGGGGTTTCTCCCTGTTACAACAGTCGAGCAGTAGACGTTATAAAAGTTCAGTATTGCGATTAGGGATATACCATCTTATCAGCACGCCGGTGGCAAACAGTAGTCTTGATAGCGAACTGTTATTTATTCCTGCCTCCATCTTCAACAGGCAGCGATCGCACCAATTGTCCTTCAGACTCGGGTGTTTGCCGCGGAAACTCAGTACAAGGCCTCCACACGGTTTTTTGGGGTTAGATTTGGGGATTTGTGTGAGCAGCCACGCGCCCGTGCAGAGCGCACCGCGCCGTGTTTTCGGCCGTTGTTTGCTGATTGCACGCATTGCATTGTGCTCTCAATGCAGGAGCGTGTGCTGGCGTATTCTTGCTAAACCTCAGCGGGGAGGGGGACAAGATGATTTTTGGGAGGTGGCACAGTGTGGTCGCTGTCTATATGGCTTCACAGAGGTGTACCGAAAGCCTTGCGTAGAGCTACCTCTTTTTCTTCCCCCCTTTTTTCCCGTTTTTTTCCCCCCTCCGATGTATCCCAGCAGTCTTTGTTACACCTGAACATTGGCCAAGTTGACAGCCATTGGTTCCCGCAGACCCGCAGTAATGGCAGCTTGTGCCGGGTGCGCAACAGGAAAATTACAAAAGAAAAAAATATTAAGGGTCCTTTGTCTCCAACTCCATCAGACCTCGCTCCCCAAATGTATGGACCGCGTATTTATAAGGAGGAAGTCGCCAGCGCAAATATTAGGTAGGCTGGTCAACTTACATATAGCGGATTTGACAAGCATCTGCTGTAGTACAGAAGATTTGTAAACACTAAACAATGTTTTTACCTCCTTAAAAGTTTTGAGAAGTTGCCAGTATTGGCAGGAGGCACAGACTCCGAAACGTGCTTGAAGATACGTGCCAAAACCATTGTGACCTTTTCACCCATAGTGCTCGCTTCTCTTTTTCTTGTGGGGTTTTTTTTTCCCCCCCCACTTTTCGTCTTCTTTTCTTGGGGGGAGTATTCTGTTCCAAGATGCCCTTATTTGAGATGACTTCGGCAGCAAGATGTCCCTTTCCTTCTAAACATGTAGGATAATTATTGCTTTGAATCCACGCTTTTCCTTCAGTAGGCACTATCATCTGTAAGGGAACACATGTGCACAGATTTAAATAGTGCTTCTTACAAAGCTACTGAAATCAATTATTCTCTTTAAGGACTGGCTAGAAAGAGAAAACAAAAATATGCAAATAGGCAAAACTACATGTAATTTTCATTAAAAGGAAAAAAAAAAAAAAAGAAGGGAAGATCGGTGCTTTGTGAATTAGAGGTTGACCAAAAAAATGTATTGAAATCTAGAGTATTGCTCTCAGTTTGCAGTTTCTAATCTGCTTAACTAAAAGCAGGCGGCATTTTTGTACCCTGAACTTGGGTTTGCTTTTTAGTTTTCACTTATTCTGCTCTTGTATCAAATGACAAGTTGGAAACCATTGTGGCAAACCGTTTTCTTTGTGGGAGTCGAACAGTAAAGCTAATTTATGACCGGTCCTTTACCAGATGATCTGTATCAGAATCTACAATATACTAGGCACGTGGCAAGGTCACAATTTAAGTTGTTAAGGTCACAACCTTAGCCACCAGGCATTTGACCTTTTAGATAAAGTTAACCTTTGTTCATTAGTAGGCACTCAACCGAGAACTTTCTGGAGTTTTTTACTGCTTTGGAGTTCCTCCTGCTAATGTGGTCAGATTGGAGAATAGATTTGCAATAGAAGTAGTTAAATTTTCTGAGAGGTCACAGTTTTTAGAGACTTCTCCAGTGGCCGAAGCGGGATGGTGGGCCAGGAGGCGATGCTGCAATGCCTGGTTTATTTTTTTGGCCGGCCATCGTTACGCGCTTTGGGCGAGAATTAAACTCGCGAGGTATTTGTGGCAGAGAAAATCTTTTAATCTTTCAGAAGGACATTTAAAAATCCCAAATTTAAGAAAAAATCCGGGGCTAGATGTTATTTGCGCAAACCCGTTTTTCAGTTCGCGTTTAGACTCGAAGGCAGCCAGAACTCAGCCTTATTTCTGTGGCTGAAAATTTACTTAACTTCTAGATGTGCTCTGTGGCTAATTGCTGGGCAGTGGTATATAGCACATGACCTTGAACTTTAAGCTCGACCCATTTTATGTTCCCGTTGACAGACTTAAAATATTCCACTTGGACCACCATAAAGAGGCATCGATGGGAATAACCCAAAGATGGGTTAATGCAGAAGCCCCCGTAGCCGTGGAGGTTTCGGGGGGTCCGAGAGGTACCCGAGGCTTCGCGCTGTAATCTTTTAGTGCAATTAGTATTGATTGTTGCTGCATTAATCCTGTTAATAGCCACAGCCGGGCCGGGTGTCGCAGGGGTGGCAGAGGTGTCCTGACAATACCGTACGTCACCGAAAGAGCTGTCGCAGCGCCTTCAACTCCTGATCGCTGCTCTGCAGAAGTGGAGCTTTCGACGGTGGAAACTATTGCTGGCTCATACAGAAACACACACCATATTGTTTACTTAATTATGCCGGAGCGAAGGCTCATTTTTAATTATTTAGCTGACTTTCTCGCTCTGCTCTGATACCACATTTATTATTTAATTTGAAATCAAAAGGGCTTGCGCTCCCGTTAGTTTTTGATGCATTTTACTTTTGTTTTGGCTACGTTATTGTCATTCCATCGTACGGTAATCCAGATAGCCGTGATATGCAGATTGGCCAGATGGTCATGTTAACAGATTGAGAACCTACTTCCCACTGCTAAAGAGCAGGGGGCTTTTTTTTTTTTTTTTTTCTTCTCCTTTCCTCCCAAGTTTCAACCAAAATGCTCTTTAGACAGATCATAATGGTAGTTAAAAAGGGGCACATTTCAAATGGTGTTTGTTCTGTGGATATAATGCGTAATGTATGTGTCATTTTTACGCCTATCTGAAGACTTTTAAAGCATCCATGACATTCTCTCCACCTATGATGCTTTGAAAAACCTACTTCCAGCTCATGGCTCTTCCAGTGTATATCCAAAACCATCTTGAAAGTTTTTTTTTACTGCAGACAGATTGCATTTACTCTTACCAAAAAAACACTTGAGGCATCTTTCCAGCAGGTATCTCACATGTGTTCCCTGCACAGGGCTCCCAGTGCATGCCCAGGAGAACCTGAGCAGATCAGTGTTCAGCTGAGATTTTAATGTTTGTGGGCTGATAGAGTTGTTTTTCTGCTCCATTATTTTTTGCCAAAGTGAGACATCTGTAGCTTTAAAGAAAAAAAGTGACACTAAGACATCTCACAGTATTTCTGCCCTCAAGGAATA